TAAGGAGTCAGGCCCCCTTTTATTTAATTCAAGTGACTGAACAAAGCAGCTGATTATTATGATCATGATATATAGAGAAATATGTTAAATAAATTCAATACATAGGCATAAACCACATTAGTCATAAACCAACATGAATTAATCGTGCCAAGATTTATATGTATATACGTACTACATAAACCTTGACATCACACGCGCATGTTCTTTTATGATTCAATGGGCATCCTTATTATACATATAACATAAGATAAAACATGATAATCATATATATATATGTGTGTGTGTGTAACTTAATAAGTGGGAGGCTCAGCAGGAGTAGGGGGAGGGCAAACGCAAGGGCAGCATTCGCCTGGAGATGCAGGAGGAGCACAGCACACACACGCAGGGCAAAAGGGCCCACCTGGATTAGTACCTGCACCACATTTAATTCACAATAATATCTCAGTAATTCACTTATATATATAATTTAATGCTAAATTACTTTTCTTAATCCTAGTAATAGATTTATTTTTAATTTACTGTAGTATATATGGTTAACATTTTTTTTTATTGGACCACCTGATATATTCTATGCTTGCCTCTCCACAACTGGAGTTTGCCAAACTAATTAATTTGGATTGAAATGGATAAGACCACAAAAGGCAACAGAACTCTTTGTTTATAATTGATGCAGATGGAACAAGCATTATGCTTTGTGATTTGTGAATGAAGTTGGTAGAATTCAAAAGAATGTAAAGTTACAAAAGATTAGCAGTAAGAAGAACTAAGTGAAAAAAGTCCAATCCATAACAGCGTAAATATAAATCTTTAGACTAGTTCGGGAACAAAAATTGAAAATTGAATGAAAACCATGGAAATAAATAATTATTCTTTACTTTGAATATTATATATCACAAACAAATAAGAAGATTAATCACAATCTTGTTTTAAGCGAACTACTTTTGCCCGGAAAAAAATATTCAGTCTATCAAAATGAGCTTTAACAAAGATATTATATAAAAGATTCACAACGAACATGATCGATTGAATTACCTGGATGATTAATAGAGAATATTATTTATATATATAGATATTACGCTAATTAATTAAGGAGGTGAGCAAGTTTGGTTTATTACCTGGGGGCACTGGAATTTGAGCTTCACAGGGCAAAGTTGGAGCTAACACCATAGCAAATATGAAAAGAGTCACCAAAGAACACCTCCAAGAACTGATTCCCATTGCTTATAGATAACAATAATGAGCAGAAGATATAAAATGTTCAATTTTTTTTTTTTGCCCCTTCTCTTTCAAATGAAAGAAGATGATGAGAATATATGAATGTGAGGAAGCTTATTTATAGTGGTTCTTTTTAGGCATGCATGGCTTGCTTGTGCCGAGATATTTGAATTTGAATGTTGACATTTATAGCATGGTTCATAAATTTCAATAAAGGATAGTTTTTTCTCTCCCCATAGTTAACAACTACCTCGGTTATAACATTGACAAAACTTGTGGGATAAAAATACTTGAAATCTGAGTCTATCTAAACTGGATCTAGATTTTCAGTTTATAAATTGATATCTTGTGCAGGCTTCCCAATTTTATATATATCTTCACTACAAATATTGTCTTCTCACATGATGCGGCCAGCTTGAAAATACATGGTTTTGAGACTGACCAATATATATATATGATCTTAATGAACCATCATTTTCTAGTTGAATCATTTTATTACTCAATCAATATTACATCAATATTAATTTCTTGGCGGGGTTTATCAACTTGAATCAAGAGCTACCATAATTATAATATGAACTCTGATAATGAGCTCTAAATATCCCTTTCCCTACTTAATTGATTAGTTCAGCCATGAGAAAAAATTAATCAACAGTACAATTATTCACATGAATTGCGGTCACATCATGATCAACCCCACCCTATATTTGCACCCTATTTTTAAATAATGTGCCCATATCAGGGAATCAGGGCCTCTTCGCATAAGAGACAGATAAAAGTATATCTTTTTTGGCTGAACTATTTAAAAAAAAACTAGCTGTTGTCCCCTGCATTAATTAAGTTTGCGTTGCTAATAGGCAACCACTGTGCGAAACACATAATATGAGCATTTTCTTTCAGAAAAAAGGCTACACATTTTCAAATTTATTTATTATTTTCAAAATTTTTAACACAAAACCGTGTTAGTTTGATAAAACGAAATATTTCGTGCGTGACTGAAACTTTGAATTCAAGTTTTGACTGCGAAATTGAAATTTGTGTTTCCTTAACTGATACACTCAGAACCAAATTTCCAATCTAAAATCAATCCATCGCGTTTTTAACGTCAAGTACATTAGTAGCTCAAAAATCATTCATCCAGAAAATCTCTCCTTTTTCCCTCTTTCTTTTAATTTCCCTAAAAATGACTCCATCCTACCACACACGAGGCAGTTGGCGTTAGGGGTGTTCATTTTGTCCTATCCCAATTATCTTGTCCTGTTCCCGGTAAGTTCGGGACAAAAAATTTTTTTGGGATGAGATAAGTACAAGACGGCACGGGATCGTCCCTCCCAGTCCTAGGGTATTTTTAAAAAAAATATATTTATTAATAATTATTATTAGATTATTCAACTTACTTATCAATAATAATAATTGTTATTATTTTTATAGTAATTTTTAGCTCTTAAATTGTAGTATTATCTCAACAAAATCTCTTTTCTCAATAAAATAATTCATAAAGTCTTTATATATATATTTACGGTATTTTTTTAACAATATTGTTTTTACACTTTTTTTATACATATAATTGATCTTTTTCTGTAGTCTTTTTTATAATGTTTTTATCCTTAAAAGTCCAATGAAAAACAAACATTATAACATATATAAAAAAATTCATACAAAACATTATAATATTTTTTTTAAAAAAAAAGGAGGAAATGGGACATCCTGTGGGACAGGGATAGAACTAGGACGGGACGGGACATGAGACCAAAGTCCTATTCCATCCCTGTTCACTGAGATGGGATTGGAATAGGCCTATCCTGGTCTCATCTCTTCCCGTGAACATCCCTAAGCATTTGTGTATGCATGGTAGTGCTGCCTATAACCTCACATTGCCACATCTACAATCCCACATTGCCATTGTCTATACACTGTTTCTTCCAATCCTTATACTACTACAACTCAATTCTTAATATAAGATCAAATTTTCTAATTTGGAGAGACTAAAAAAGTTAAAAAAATACCTTGGTTGTACCATATGCTATATTATCTTAATTTCTGAAACACCTTTGTTTACCATTAAATTGCATATATTAGTTTATAAGTTAGGCAAATCAGTTTAAAGAGTAATTTTTTAGATTTTTTAATATCTCCAAATTAATCAACTACATCATACATGAAGGACCGGATTAGTAATATATAATTTTTGAAATGACCTAGCATTATTTATAGAACATATTTAGAGAATTTCAGAAATTTTAATCCCTATTAATTATATTTCTTACATCCCTTTTGCTGCTGATTTGATCTCTCCCCCCCCCCAAAACAAATAGGATATTTTGGAAAATAAAATATATATATTTACATATTTATTTCCTTTGATAAATTGTAACCAACTTTTTTGTCTTTATTTGTATATTATATATTATAAGATTGGTCAGAGTATTTTAAATTTTTAATTAATACTCTACCCATTCTAAACATTAGTGTTAATTAATGGGATTTGCTTCAATCCTAAAATAAGTATTTACAAAGATTTTATAAATTTCTCTAAGAGTGCAAAGGAACTTGCGTTTTCTTTTTTTCCCGCTTTTCTTTAGTCTTCCTACATATCCAAAAATGAAAAATGAAAAAAAAGAAGAAGAAAGAACAAGAAACTTACGTTGCAGCCGGCTTCGGCTTGGATAGAATAAGATGGGAGAAGACGTAACTGGGATAAATTTGGGCTATTATTTTCAAGGCTAAAATATAAAGAACTCTCCTGAACTTTAAGCCGACTGCACTTAACTCTCCTGGCATATTGAAGTTTAAAATCAACCCCCTTAGTCTTTCGTTATTTTTTTAGCCATAGAGCCCTGCCGTTAGTTTTTCCGTTAGCTTATTAACTGATGAGACTACCACATCATCTTACAGTGAGGATTATGTGGCATCACGTGGGGCTAATAAGTTTCCTCTTGTCCTTCTTATAGGTTTCTTTTTTAGAAGGAATTTTTTTTTATCTTTTTCATACTCTTCTAGTTCTATTTATAAGGTACTTCCAACAGGTTTCACACAGATTAAAATTTTTTTTAAACTTCATTAATTTTCATTTAAAATTTAATAACTTTTCAACTTTATCTCTATTTAATATATATTATATTTCATATAAATAAAGTCAACAATAAATGAGAGGTAAAATTATATCCATATAAAAAAAAATTCTCTCAGTATCCCATAAATAGGACTGGAGAAGTAAGACTCTTTGATAGTTTTAATGAGCATTAAATTTTTTTTCATATATGCTCATATTTAATAAGAGTAGTAAGAGAATAAAAATTAATATAATATTAAAATTTAATTAAATTCATAAAAGTAATATTAAAAATCACCTGAATTTTATGATAAATTAAATATTTTAATTGTTTTTATTTATACGTTTGAATTAGTTAGAAGATTTTTATAATAAGGATGAGATGGAGTAATCCAAACACATACACCAATAATAGCACAAAGCACAAGATGTAATATTTTCTCTCATAAACTATAGAGACAATGCCATGTATTCAACAAAACACACACGATATGTTGCAGTGAGAGTCAGAGTCCCACTGCCTCCTTTTATTTAATACAAGCGACTGAAACAAAGCAGATGATTATAATTATCATCACATAGAAAGACATATATTAAATAAATATTCAATCCGTAAGAAATAAGCAAAACCACATTAGTCATAAACCCACATGAAATACTGCCAAGGTTTATATGTGTATATGTAACCCTGACATCGTACATGTTCTTTTATGATTTAATGGGCATCCTTATTCTTGCAGATTGAACACTACATTTAATTATATATCTATATATATATAACATTAGATAAAACATGACAATAATATATAATCATATGTGTGTGTAGGAGTAAATTTAGTAAGCCGGAGGCTGAGCAGGAGGAGGGCCAGGTTGAGGGCAGAAGCAAGGGCAGCATTTGCCTGGAGCTGGAGGAGGCGCACAACACTTGCATCTTGGGCATACGGGAATGGGAATTCCTGCAAAACACACGAAATAATTAAGCTCAACCATATTTTGATCTTCTGAAATTAAGTTAATGAAATGTTATTAAAATGTACCACTTCCTGTTCTTAATATAAAAACTGGATCTTCCAAGTATATAACTTTTTTTCAAAATATTCCTATTTGTTGTACATGTTAAAAGATTTTGATCAATGATACTCTTGGTCCTTCTTATAAGATTGTTTTTATGACTAAGTTATGTGGTTTAAAAAATTATTAAAATTAGTTAAAAGTAATAAATATGTAAAAAAAATTAAACATTCTTTCAAGTGTGTTCTTATTTAATGTGGGGAGCAAATAAGAGAGAGAAATGTTAGTAATGAGGTACAGAATAAAAGAAAATGTAGCATGAGAGAAAAAGATGAGGAAAGAGAATAGAAACTTTGTTAGGAGTAAAATTAGTAAAAATGTATTTAATGCTCAGATACCCATGAATAGGATCTGATGAAATGGACAAAACCAATGCAAATTTTGAGATCTTATAAAAAGGATTAGAGTGAGTAATTTCAATGCACATAACTAATAAGGATATTTAAAAGAAACTAAGACCTATTTATTATAAATAACTAACTCAACTAATTGCTCCTCAAAATGAACTTAACATGAAGGGATAATTGCAATTTGCAGAACAAACTAGATCTTATAGTTAGGATTAGAGGTAGCATTTAGAAATAAATTATCTAATTCCTACACTAAAGACCAGAGGTGATACACTATATATATATATATATAAAAATGCATGATGAACGGGAAGAAATAATTAAAAATAGGATTTAATTAATTACTTGGATGTGGTAGCAGCGTTGGAGCTGGTCCTCCTGGGCCTGGTGCCGGCTCAGTTGCTGCTTCGCAAAGCAGCAAGGTTGCGGGGGAAGAGATCATCGCAAAGATGAAAAGAGTAACTAAAGAAAGCTTCAAAGAGGCCATTTTGTTAACAAACAAAAGTGGATGTCTATATGAAGGTTTTGTTATATGTGAAAGATTAGTTTGATGGTGGCAATGTAAGCGAGCATATATGCATGTATATATATGCTGGTTATGCTCAAGTTCATGGCTTCGCGTTTGCCGCAATATTTGAATTTCAAGCGTTGAAAGTACTTACTTATTACAGTCGTACTTTTCCTCTGACAAAAAAATAATGCATCTGGCTTGACGTGTTATTTATTTTCACCCCCCATTACGTAACGCTGACTTTAATCCATTTTATCATGCGTGTCTAATTAATTCACATGTATTAATGAAAATAATTTAAAGTACTAAATTTCTCATGGAATTAAAGTAATTTTTAATATTATTTTTATTAATCATACTAAACTCCGGCATCATGTTCCTTCTTGTCTTGATTATAAGAGACTACTACCTCCGGTCCTTAATATAAGACCCTGTTTGACTTTTTGTTTGATCATAATTATAAAACCCTAATCCATTTTTTCTCTCATATTTATGCCTTTTTTCCAAGATAGTCCTTCTAATAATGATAGTTCTAGCCAATACACTTAATTAGCAAGGATATTTTAGGAATGAGAACACTTATTTATTATAAATAACTAACTTAACTTACTTCCTTAATCTCTTCAAATAAGTCAACTAGGTCTTATAATTAGGACCGGAGGTAGTACTATTTTGTTTTTAATATAACTTACTTGTATTACATTCTTGTATACCAAGGAATGTATTAAATTGAAAAGATTTTCTGATTTTGTCCTTATTAAAGTTCTCTCTCTACATTTACAAATTATTGTTATATCTCTCCATTCTTTATTTCATTCCAGTGAAAATTAAATAAGAATAAAGTTGAAAAACAAGGATTAAATATACTACAAATAACTTACATTTAGGATTAAAACTTTTTTCCTACAAGGAACTTACATTTAGCACTAGAGTGGGACTAACTAATTCACACATCTTAATAAAAACAGTTAAAAGCATTAAATTTTGTCATAAAATTCAAGTAACTTTCAGTATTATCTTCATTAAAAATACAGTAAATTCTAATATCATATTAACTTCTACTCTCTCACTACTCTTATTAAATATGGGCATATATGAAAAAAAAAAAGGAAAAAAAACTTAGATTAAATTTTTTTTATATTTATTATATCAAGTTTTCCAATCATATATGGACATGTATCCATTTTGTTTCATGTAGATTTATAATTAAATGCTAAGATTTTAAAAATAGGATACATGATCTTATATAATTGAAGAGCTTTACACAATAGATATAGGTAATTGTAAGTATTGCGCAATGCGCGTTATAAAATGGGTTGGAGGGAGTAACTTATTGATGTTCCTTACGCATAATGCAAAAAATTTCCAAATTTTTATGATCAACCTATCCGTATGTGTAATTAATATATAAAAATTTGAGATTTTTTTTAATAACCTTATCATTTAAGAAATTTATTATATAGAAATAAAAATGTCACGTATATCATGGGGATAAAAAATTTAAATGAAGACAAGAGAAAATAATATTTTATATTTAGGAGAAATCCAAAATCCTTAAATAAACTTTATATTTAGGACTGGAAAATGGATGGAATGGCTATTTTGAAATTATGATAAAAGCACTATTTATTTGTTGACAACTAGCATTAATTAGTGCAGTGAAAAGCGGGGAAAGGGTCGTCTTCTTTGAATTCAAGCCACTTGGCCAACTTGGTAGATCCTTTTATTATAATTACAACGTAGTACTCCCTCCGGTTTTTATTATAAACGTTAAATAACTAATTCATGAATAATAAATAATTAATTAAAATTAGTTAAAAGCAACAAATATGTTAAAATATATAGTTTTTTTTAAATATATCATTATAATAAATAAGAAAAAATGAAAGAAAATGCGTGAAAAATGTGATAAGAGAGCGTAGCAAATGAAAGAGAATAAATAATTAAGAGTAAAATTAAAAAAAAAAAAGCATCAAATATTTAGATAAACCCCAAATTAAAGCGAACTATACCCCTCTGTAAATTTAAAGCCTATAAATAAGATGTAGGTTCTAATCAATTTTCATTTGGAATTCTATTCTTTTCGAAATGAAGACATTACTTTGATTTTTCTTTATATATATATATATATATGTCAGACCAACAGAAAATGAAAACATTCAAAAAATGCATTTAATTAATTTATTTTTATTAATTTTTAAAAATACAAGAAGATGCATATACTACTGGTAACGTATTTGTGTAGACAACTATAACATTTTTGTTTCAAAACCATATACTTCCTCGTATGTTTAAAACTCATTTTGTAGCTTAAATTATATAAAGTGAGTTTTATATTTGGACCGGGAGGAAAAGTATTACAATTGTTAGCCCAGATTTAAATATTATCAAACTTATATATACACACACACACACACACTCAATGTCTCATGCCACCAATTGCAAACTTTTTTAATTCAATTTGATTTAAGAGCGAGGGAGTTGAGGAAATGAAGCCAACGACGGGCCGGGTGAGATCAAAATAGAAGTTAGAAAAGACACTTCAGATTTGCTGTCTTAATTTCAATTCATTCAAAAAAGACACATATGATTGTAACCAGCATATAAATTTTTGGAAAAACCCTCAAAAGCTAGTATTTGAGGTTGGAGGCCCTACCAAACATGGAACTCGTCATGACAATATATAAAACACCCCTCGAGAACTCGAACTTGGATTCTCTCCACTACCTTCCCATCCTCTTCCCCTCCACTACCTTTCTTTTCTCTTCACAACCATTGGATCAAAATTCCAATGGTCCAGATTTAACATCTTATAAAAATAATGTTATTAAAAAAAAATTTAAACTGTTAAAATCTGGTCTGAACAGTTTACAATTGTAATAAAAAAAATTTAAAAAAATTGCTCTATAATAACAGTCTGTAGTTGTGAACTGTTCAGATTAAATTTTAACAGTTTAAATTTATTTATCTATTTTTTATCATAATATTTATTTTTATAAAATTTTATAAAATATTAAATCTGGACTATTGGAGTTTTGATCCAATGGTTGTAAACAGAAAAGGAGGGTGGTGGAGTGGAAGGGGATGGGAAGGGTAGTGGAGAAAATCCAATTCCCGAGAACTCACCCTCTGGTGACTCCGCACCACAATAGTCCACTTAACCTCTTGTGAGTCGATCCCTTCAGACTTTAGTCAAAACCTTCCCAGGTGGTTTTTGGTAGTTAGCTGGTTCTTAATAAAAGTACCAATGCATCTAACAAAAGTCCTTACAAAACCTACAACCCCAAAAATTAACTGTTTGCACTGGGGAGTCTAAAACTTGTTTGGTACAAAGTATTGAAAATGAGGAGTAAGGATTAAGATTATAATTTGAAAAATATGTTTAAAAAAGTATTTAATATGAGGGATTGCTTGATAATTGGAATTCAGCAAACTCATATATATGTAATTGGGGAGGTGGAATTCTCAAATCCCACTCACATGAGATTGTCTAATCTCATATAACAAGAAATTACTTATACTAGATACTCTTTAATGATTTCTTTTGCAATCCCAAACTCAGTCTTTCTTTGATTCTCAATACTTTCTACCAGGCGGGGGCTATAATGTTGCTCTTTTCAAGTGATCTTCTCAATGTGAAGCTCATAAGAACAACTATCTCTCTCTCCCCCCGCCCCACATCTAGACTCTAGAATTACTATAAGAAATTTTAAATCCCCGTGTAAAACTAAACTAACCCAAATCTCAAGCAACGGTGCGTACGTCATAAACACATTTTCAAACCCGACTTTCTCAAAGTCCCTTAGAGAATAATAAGCTTGGTGGAAGTTGGCCTAATTCCATTGTTGCACAACACTTAACTTAATTGCCACCATTAAAGGCTTAATTTGCTGGAGATAATACCCAATAAAATGAAATATGCAGCAAAGATAATCATCTTTCAGGTATTTATTTGACCAAAGACTTTTTATGCATGTTTAAGATTTTCAAATAGTACCCAACTGTACGTAGGTCGGCTTGAAAATGCAGAGAGATGCCAGGAATAATAATTCTTTGCGTGCCCATTTCTTGAAGGAATGATAAATCCATCATCAAAGTACAAATATAATAAGCGTGTTGACTCTAAGCTTGAGTATGTGATTGGGATTTCAATCAAAGCCAACCAAATAAGCCAGCTCGGCTAGAATAATTGAACAGAAATTATAAACGAGTTTTTCTGTTTACAATTTAAACGGAACATATACATAGATACTATACACATATACATTGAATCTTTTTTTTTTTTTTGCCTGAATATATGTCGAATCGTTTGTGTAATATTTTCAATTGAAATTTTGATGTGTTGATGTTGTCCATGCTGTTGTTATACTAGTTCTATATGATTGCAGATGTTCAGATGAGGAATGGACGTGAACACAATTTTAAAAAAAGAACAATTTAATTAAGGAATTAGTCATAAATTAGAACTGACGTGATAATTGATTGATTATGGCATCAATTGCTTTATAAGTTACGCGAAAATTACCAACGTGTGCTGCATCTCATATGCTATCATGAAAATGCACAATTATATAACTGTCTTTAATATAAGAGCACAATAACTAATTTGTAAATATTAAAAAAATTAGTTAAGTTAGTTATTTGTAATAATTAAATATTGTCTTTCTTAAAATATTCTTGTTAATCATGTGTATTAGAATAAAAACTCTTTAACATATACAGCCACCAAAAGGACTACTTTGGGAAAAAGGAAGTAAATATAGGAGACAGTATGTCATACACCCATTTGATTCTTGGTTTTTTTTTTGGGATTAAAGCTATCTTAAGTCACTGAAATTTAAAATAAGTGATTTTGGTTTCTGAAATAAGGTTTTAAGGACAAAAAAATCTTCATGTGAATCAAAATGAGATCAAATTTTAAGGACTAAAACTATTGGTTTCAAATTTTAAGAACCAAAATTAAAATGATGTCAAACTTTAGGGGCTAAAGATTATTTTGACAATTTTTTTTCAAATTATTTTAGTATTAGCTTACT